AGGAGGGAGGGGAGGAGAGAAGGGAGGAGGGAGGGAGGGAGGGGAGACAGGAAGCTTTAAGAAGTTATTTCGGTCACCCATAGGATTAAAGGCAGTGCATGCCTTTGATCCCAGCTCCTGGGGCAGAGGCAGGTGAATCTCTGTGAGTTCGAGGTTAGCCAGTTCTATAGAGGTAGTTCCAGGACAGCCAGGACTACACAGAGAAACCCTGTCTCAAACAAAACAAAACAAAACAAAAACAAATGAACAACAACAAAGTCACTTCAAAAGAAAGTTCATAAAATTCCAAATGATTTTTTTTTTTTGAGAAAACGCTCCTGTTGGTTGCAAGGGAGTGTGAACTGCTCCCCGTTGAGGAAGATTCTAGTCTGAGAGGATTCTCCAGGTGTCCAGCGGGGAGTGTAGCTGGTCAAGACACAGACTGACTCTTGGAATAAATGACCATCTCACTGAGTGAATGGAAACTGGATGACAGGCTGACTCTCTGATGGAATAATTTGGAATAATAAATGGATAGATGGGTGGATGGATGGGTGGATGGATGGATGGGTGGATGGATGGATGAGTGGATGGATGGATGGATGGATGGATGGATGGATAGGTGGATGGATGGATGGGTGGATGGATGGATGGATGGATGGGTGGGTGGATGGATGGGTGGGTGGATGGATGGATGGATGGGTGGATGGATGGATGGATGGATGCAGAGATGAAAAAAAGGAGTTTTTATTGGTCTTTTTCTCTTTTAACATACAATACGGGGGCTGGAGAGACGGCTCAGAGGTTAAGTACATTTGCTGCTCTTCCAGAGGACCCAAGTTCAGTTCCTAGCACCTGCATCAGACAGTTCATCACCACCTGTAACTCCAGGTCCAGGGGATCCAGTGCCTTCTGGCCTCTGTGAACATCTGCACACATGTGGCATATATATTACACACACACAAACATATACACATACAATACATAGATACACATACATACACATAGATACATACACATGCATACACACATACACATATGTATGCACACATACATACAACACATGCATACACATACACACATATAAACACATACACACATACAACACATGCATACATATAAACACATACACACACATACACACATACACATATACATATGCATACATACATACACACACATACACACATACAACACATGCATACACGTACACACATATAGACACATAAACATGCATACACACATACACACATATACATATGCATGCATACATACACACACATTCACACAACACATGCATACACATACACACATATAGACACAAACACATACATACACACACATACATACAGCACATGCA